CATCACATGTCCTCTGAAACCCGCCTAATGCTCCAGTGTGGCACATGACACGGGACACATAAAGCGCGCATCAGAAGACACAGACGTCACACAGAACATGTCACCTCCAAATGCAGCCTCACCTGCTTCTCTCCCACATGTTTCTCCAAGCTTCACATCCTTAACATTGATTATTTTTAGAGGCCCTATGCCGTCTGCAGGATCCTGGCTGATTCATTTGCTTCATTGCATTTGCCCTACTTGGTTTATTTATCGATGTAGTTTCTCAGATTCATTCATCCATGTACTTAGTCCCCTCCTTGTTCCCAAATGGGTATAAGGCGGCTTACAAGAAGACACAAAATACAGTATGATAGCATAAATTCAAAGTAGGTAAGAAAAGTAAAAGGGAAAAAAAACCCAGTACAAAGACAGAAACATAAAATGGCGCCTGAAAGAAAGCCAATACAAAGTGCATACATACCGTACGGTCCCATTATGAGTGCTCTGCATGGGCCACACATTGGGCTCCAAGCTCTTTAGCAGCCGAGAAACCTGATTGGTCTCACCCTTCTCGGGGACCATAAAATCAAATCAAAGCACTTGTTCAGGATGTCCTTTTCCTGCTCTACATCTTGAAAACTTTTCTATGATAAAGTATCATGGTGGGAAAAGGTCTCTCTTAATTCGTTCTAATGCCAAGTTCCAGCTCCTGAAACAGTCTCTAACAAAGATAGATCCTCAATCTGGAAATTACAGCTGCTGCTTTTTATTTTGTTTCTGCCTTATCTCTTGAACTCCATTTGGTCAATAGAATGTAGCTATTAAAAAGACTTCTTCAACAAGCAAAAATCTCTGCTTTCATTTAACTCAAGAGATAGACAATATAATGTTATTTATAACAAAAATTTGGGAAGGACCCCAAATATCCAACAAAATAACTGGTCAAATAAACCATGATGCCACTGTATGGTGAAATATTACACACCATTAAAAATGGTATTTAGGAAAACTTATTAAAAATGTAGGAAAATATTTGTGATAAAACTTTTAAGTACATGTTAAGTAAAAAATGAAAAAATAAAACTGCACTATTAGGATTTTAATTATGTAAAAAACTGTATATGAGGATTTTATATATAATATATATATATATCTATATAATCTCTATCTATATCTATATCCATATCCATATATAATAACACCACAAAAAATCTGGAGAGAAATCCACTAAAATGTTATCATTTCTGAGATTTGTGCATATGGGCTACTTTTATTTTTTCTGTTTGTCTTTAGTTTCCATCTTTTTATATATTGATAAACAAGTTCCATATGATATGAAGAAAGAGGATGAGGAGGAAAAGTACCAACCCAGTGGTTATTTTTAGCTTGTAAAATTATGGGCAATTTTCATTTTCTTTAAAGTTTTCTATAATCAACATGTAAGTTCTAGTTAGACACAAAAGTACTTGAACCAAAAAAAAAAAAAGAAAGAAAGAAACAAGAGTTCTAAAAAATCTGATTGTTTTGTTGTTTTGTTTTTAAGGTCCAGAATGATACAAATGTAATACCATTTCATCATAATGTAGCACTTTTTAATTTTAACAGCTCTCTAATACTTAGAATTGCATTTGGCTCCCAGAAGATAACTTGTGAGGTAGCCTGGGTATCACTCCCTGCATTTAATAGGTGTTGAAACTCGGTGACTGGCCCAAAGTCACCATAATCAGTGGCTGAGCTGAACTCCAATCCAGGTTCTTCAGGGCCCAAATCCAGTACTCTTCCCATTCATTTGCAACTGATCATGCTATAACCCAAGGAGTCACCAAGAGGCAGAAACAGGGAAACAGCAACCCCTCCTTACCTCTGAGGGTCAACTTCCCCTGCAACCCTCAAGGTAGTAGAGTTTAGCTGAGGAAAGTATGATTTTAGGAGGTTTCCCAAAAAGGGGGGGGGGCAGGGAAAGTGAGGTCACATGCGAACTCTTGAAAGCCCTCATGGATAATTTTTTGCACAGTGAAACAAAACAGTAACAGCACATTACATAAAGAGAATAATGAGAGTTTACATAGCTTAAATTTGTAAAAATGATAGGCTCTACAGCATTTCCATTTAGATCCTAAGATGATTTCCAGAGGTGATGAGGATGTCGTGCTCATTATGGCAGTGGGACAATGGGGGTGACAGTGAAATGATGAACAGGGGTGCACTGTTAGCTCAAATCATGGGTTTTCATATTCTCTCAAATCATTGGAATCCAATCCTGAAATTGGAACAACTTGCTTGTGCTTTTTGCCCTATCCAAGCAAGTGGTTTGAAGTGGTAAAACTTCATGACTCGCTCTTCTGAAGATGCTGTCTCCTCAAGTGTTTCCTGAAGATACTTTAGCACTTCTGGACAGAGTTCAAATTGAATTGTTCAAGCTTTGTCTAAAAGTGGCCTACCAAGTGCCTATTACGCATACTTAAATGACCCTCCTTCATGATTTAGGCTCTTCTGTGGGTGCTTTTTTCCTAATATGGTAGTGTAATAAGACTCTTAGCACCTCTTTATAGAGAGTTCAATGAAATCATTCACACTTGGTCTGAAGGCAGCTTATCAGCTGTCCAGTAACAATATTAAATGGTTCTCCTTGATGACTGAAGTTCTGCGGAAGATGCTTTCTCTCCAAAGAGATATCTTGAAGGCATCACAGCACCTCCTTACAGAGTTCTTCTAAACCACTCAATCTTTGAACAGGTTACGATTTGATGTATAAATGTATCAATTTCTATTACTTTCTTGGGGAGGTTTTAATCATGTTCTGAAGACTCTGCACCTGTTGCTTCTAATTGTGTTTCTCTCCAGTCCCATAGCTTCCCAAGTATCTTCATCATCACTTATGATAATCACCCCTGGGGTACCAGAAGCTTCCTGAGAGTCATCCTCTAGCGGCATCAACAGGTTCAGTTTCAGCTTCAGCCAATGAGTGCTCTTGGACCAAGTGTTCCGCCTCATCTATAGGTTTTTCTTGAGCTAAAGACTCTGTTCGGTACAGATTGTTGAAAGTTATGTCACCATCTCTACCCAGATTTTGTCAGCTTGTATTACTGAAAGGCTCTGTTAAATTATCTACTGCTTCTTTTATTAAGAAGACAACATTAGTGATAGTGTCAGAACCCCATGCATTAAGATCTTCAGACAGAGGAGGTTTTGTGAGATTCTGAACAACAAATGTATGCATTAGTTTGGCCTAAGTCTTCTCGAATGGCTGGATCACTGATCTAAGGGCTCAAGGATCTGAGACAAGCAACTCATTATAAAGATAACCTTAACATGAAGGGGATACACTGGTAAATGCAGCTGAGACACCAGAAGGACTGGGAAGAATCAGCAGGACTCTGAATTCAAGATTTTTCTTTTCTTTTTTTTTTTTTTTCAGTTCCGAACTTCCACGAGAAAGCACTGTTCAAATCATTCCTTAAGAAGAGAAGGAGTTATCCAGGCTTTTCTCTTTGTGTGCCAGTACACCAGAAACTTGGCTTGGCTCCCCCCTCTCCCAACCCCGAGAAGATTTGGACATAAGTTTGTGTCAGGCAGCAATGGTTTCACCGTGAGGTCACTCCCAGGTGTTGGCACAAAACAGAAATGTCGGCCTCTCTGTTTTTGCTGACCTCGTGTAGGCATTGGTTGGCTCTTTTTTCTTCAAAAGGACAAGTGGTATTATTCAAAGGCTTCCAAAGCATGGCAGTCTCAAGAACCATAAGATTCGGCAGGCACACAGTCCCCTGCTTCAGTCGCTTCCTGCACTTGTGGCAGATGCAACACAGGAGCGGCAGGGTCTCATGGTTCTTTCTTCTGCACCACGCTCGCTGAGGACTTGGTCTCCTAGGCATAGCACACCAGAAATTTCTCAAACCATCCCTTGCTCTGGGCAGTTCCCCCCCCCCCACCCGGGACCCACTTCGGTATCTGAAAACCCACCTTTGGCCATTCCCTGTGTGTGTTTGCAGACCCCTTGTGTGGAAAGTGCTTCATTGTCCTTTTGCTTGTCTTCACATACAGGGGTTTGACATTTCTATCCTCCTTTCCATCCGGGTCACCAGAAATAAAGCTCCTCTTCGGTGACAGAAGCATACCAAGAGGCAATCCTGGTCCTACTAAGAGTGTTGGCTTATTTTACAGTATGAATTGTGGGACTCATTCACACCATGTAAGTGACCTGCGAAGCTATTTGTTTTAACTCAAAGGAGCGGATGGCAAGTGTCCCTTTTCTAAAGATACTCCCTTTTTTTCCTTTTTGGCAGTTTGCTGTGGTCCTTGCTTCACCGTCTTCCAGCTCAATAGTCACACTTATAGAAACCATGTTTAAGTTTATGCTTAGTAATGCAACCTGACCCCTATTTACCAGAGATTCTCTAGCCCCTCAGTATCACAAATGGTTTTATGAACAACACATGGATAAATGTCAATATATTGTTGTGATGCTCAGTGCAAATGCGGCTGATGGTGGAGGAATGAGAGAAGGAACAAAGGACTCAGAAGTGTCTTCCCACCTCATGATAGAGCCAGAGAGACAATCATGTGACAACTCGGACTGCCTCCCGCATACACAATTCAGAATTTTCACCGTTGTCAGAAAGGTATACAGAAGTAAATCCACCTACACTCAAATTTCGAAAAAGGACAACTTACAGTTGGAAAGGAATTACTGTAAACTCCCCTCTAAGTTAACGGAAAGAAAGTCACTATTCATATATTCAAGACAGTGTTGTTGTTATGACTTTCTTTGTTTGAACACCATGAATTCAATTTTATGTGAGATGCAAACACAGCCTACGTGTATTTTCTGTAAACCCACAGTTAAGTCAATCACATGTTATCCTCTAACAAAACGCAACCTCTGAAGGTGTAGACGGAAAGGTCAGGCAGGCAGGCCCCAAACAGCCAATGCTCCAGAAATGACTACCCAAGAAAGAAAGTGACAATGAAAGAAAAAAAAAAACTAGCCCCTTTTCAATGCCCGGCCACTGATACTTTACTTTTATCCCCTCCTCCTGGGAAGATAGAGCGAAGCCTGGCTTTCTTATTCTTCTCTTCCGGGGCCATGGGAAGTGGTTTGGAGCTGTGGTTGAGTGCTGAAGAATCTCGGTTGTTACTGTTCATCCTCAGCGGGGGAGCTGGGGGTTTCTCTTCATTATCCAGACTGTCAGACATTTTCAGTGACAACTGATTGCACAGCTCCTAGAGAACGGGAGGAGAAAACAGGAATTGAGAAAGAAGCGGCCTTAAAAAAAAAAATCCAGTAAAATGAGGATTCCGCCATCTTAGACACAAGAGCACTGGTCTCGCGTGGTCTCAGGTTTTGTGATGACCTTTTGGGGAAGCTTCTTTTCTAAAGGGGAGGGAGCTGCCTCCCTAAAGACAAATGATACCATTTTCCAAAGAGGAAAATGAAGGTAATAATTAATGGCTCTTCAGTACCTACACACAAACACATCAAATCCCTTTCTATTTTCTGCTGTCCACTCACAGTCTTAATGAACAATTTACAATCTTCTTTAAAAATTCTACTCTGGGGGGCGCCTGGGTGGCTCAGTGTGTTAAAGCCTCTGCCTTCGGCTCAGATCATGATCCCAGGGTCCTGGAATCAAGCCCCGCATCGGGCTCTCTGCTCAGCAGGGAGCCTGCTTCCTCCTCTCTCTCTGCCTGCCTCTCTGCCTACTTGTGATCTCTGTCTGTCAAATAAATAAATAAAATCTTTAAAAAAAAATTCTACTCTGACTTCGGTGACACTCAGGAAGCACAACCTCTTCAAAGTCTGGGGTTGACACCAGTTTGGCTGTTGATTGTTAATAGCCCCAAATAAGGATGTGTTAGCTGCTTTGACACTGGGATGCCACTGGCATCAGATTCTTACCTGTGTGTACCTGATGTACAAAACACACTCTACTGTTCTTTCAGAAAGAACTGGGACACAATCTAGTAGGCCTGACAGTGTTAGCTGACTTTGGGTGTACTGATGGGGAAACAATGCCCCACCTTCAGATGGCAGGTAGAAGATAAATCTGAGCCAGATGTCACCACAAGAAAAGAGGAGCTCGCTCCAAGGAGAGGACCAGCTCCTGAGGAGATATTATACTTTCAACCTTGTCATGTTTTATGTCCTGAAATGGGGAATGAGGGCATTGGCCTGAGAAACAGGGTTGAAAGAACCAGTCAAGGTTTTGGCAACTTACCTGCTCTTAATTTATTACTTGTTAGTATCTTGTACTTAGGGCTGAATATGTTCAGGTTTCATCCCACTGGAAGGTAAAGTGACCTGGAAAAGCATGGACTCCCCGAGGAAGAGCTCCTGCTTGCAACTGTATTCCTATTCTAATTCAAGTCCCTCTTCTAGGACCCCAGTGGAGGTTTGCCATCTCAAGTCATGCCTTTAGAGTATCTTCCAAGTGCATCTCCAGGTTGAATGCAAGATAAGTCAAATCCCAGTGCAAAAGAATCTGTGTAAATTCAAGTATTGACTGGAGCTAATTTAGGAGTATAAGAGCTATCAAAAAATGACTTAGCAGATCACTTTATTCCAACAACATTTACTATAAACAAACAAGTACAGCAACGACCAGGGTCTCCTCGTCACCTGTCGTAATGAGAAAGAATCTTTCATAATTATTTTTATTGCTTTAGTGGGTACAATGTATTTATTATTAGCAGTCATGAACTCTGACGTTGTGTGATGTGGAAGATTTTTAAAATTTTACCATGTCCTAAATTTTCTCTTATTTAAGTATTCAAGAACAGGTGAGTACCAATTAATAAGTTTCTCCATCTGCACAAGAGACTGCCAACGAACAATGACTGGCTTGATCTTAATCTGGGCAAGAGATCTTTTTTCTTTTCCTTTGCCAAAGTGTCACATCTTACATCATCTTAACGAATTTAAGACCCATTCTGTAGTTTTTTTCAGTAATCATGCAAGGGGAAACACTCCGTAATAAAAGCTTGATCACCAATGACAACCTGATTAACCTTGCTTTTTCCTATATAGGTGAAACCATAGCACAAGATAAAGTGAAAAGCTATGATTTTAAGGACATACTCTATTAAATATTTTGACTAATATGTGGAACTCTTGCTAATGCATCTGCATTCCCTCTTGCATTTTAAATGTGGTTCTTCTAAATTCACTGTTTCTCCAGAAGAAAAGCGAGTTGAACACTGACTTTACCAGCAGCAGTACTCTGTAGTGGACAGGTTCCCGGTTTTCATTTAGTCAGTGAGAAAAATTTGCCACAGAAAGCACTCTTTTTTTGTGTTTTTGTTTGGTTTACCTTTGGGGGTTTAAAAATAATGCTTGAGTGTGGGGTGATTATTACATAAAGCTCAGATACACAAAATATAGCTTGGTAAAAATAATGAAATTTGAAAGCCATTGCAAAAAACAATGACACCCCCCCCCAAAAAAACCCCAAACACCTAAGGATTTAAATAGAAATCCCCAGAAGATAGGTTTCTGAAAAATGTATCTCACAGAGAGAGAAGGGATAATACATATTTTCTGATGACCTATTACATAACTTAAGATGATGAAAGTTGGAGAAACAGGCATGGCTTCTGAAATATGATATATGAAGCTGACCTTACGTAATAAGGTAAGCAAGAGTCTGGGCCAGTCAGGGTTCTAGTACACCTACGTAATTCAAAATACTAGGCTCCTTTGTTCTTGATCAATTAGGTGTGGCTAACAGACTGGTGTTTTTTGTTCCTAATTACTCTCTGGCTAGCTACTCAACAGGTAGTTGCCCTGCTTCTTTTCAAGCTGCCTGATTATTCTGACCTCATTTGACCAGGTATGTTTTTGGTGGGAAAAAGGGGGGGTAGAAAACCCTGACTATACTCCCCTATGTTACACTTGAAATCACGGATCAAAAACTTGCCCACCACATGCTTGCTGTGGTCCATAACACAGGCATCTGTGAGGGACCCAGCTTATATGGCACACCTTTCTATTGCCCAGCAAACTGGAATTGCTTTAACTCTATTCAACTCATCCAGGGATTGTAAGAGAAAATAGAATCCACCTTTCACAGGGATAGAAAAGAACCTGAGAAATCCTTGTCTAGTTAAACACTAAAAATGGCAAACCTAAAGCAAAGCATCGTTCAGTTTTACCTAGACATTTCCAATTTGGTTTTGCTTGGGTTGTCCTGATATTACTTCAGTTCTTTATTTCCCACTCCCAGGCACAACCAACCTTCATCTCCTAATTATTCCAGAGAATTCTGATTTGGTGACAAAAGGATAGTGTAGGAGGCTCTTATTATCTCTAACTCACCTTCAAAGCAAGTGCTTCAAAGCAAGCTTTCAGAAGACCGATGGAAGAAGGGTATGGGCTTGTGAGGAAGCTCAATTGTTAGTATGTTTGTTTCCCAAGTGAGAAGTGTCTCTGATTATTCCAGAAATGTAGAAGAACGGGGGATTCGATTATTTTATGTTTGTAAACAATACTAATTTACTAAACCAGGTCCCTCCCCTGAGACAGCTTTCTACAAAGGATACTATTAATGGATTGCTGGTTCAATCTGCCTATGATGTCATTATTTCCAAGATCTTGAAAGAGACTATTTTGTTCGGGGTGGCTGTAGGCTCTATTTCAAGAATTGTACAAAAGTGCCATTATTCTCTAGGAACCCAATCAAAAACCTGTTTATCTTTAAAGTTTAACTGTTGTTGTTCATTTATGCAACAGAACAGAAACTGGCAAGCGAGTGGCACACTGGATCTAGCCCCAGCCCATTCATTTCACTTTTAAAACTTGGCCCTTAGCATCGTGGAAAAGGAGCTAACTTTAATGGACAACCAGCAACAGTTTATATCTGCTCACAACTTGATTTACTACTTGGCTTCTGGGATTTTCAGAGGGAAAAAAAAAAAGCAGCTCCTACAGATGGTGTATATTTTTGATCTGGCCCTTGGGACTTCATATAGCTTACCGATGCTCTGTAATTATAAGTGAAATACATCAGCAATAAGAAATGAGCCTCTTGTTTCAGGATAACCAAGGAGGCTGGACATCCCTCTCTTCAGAGTACTAGAAACTATTACTTCTCTCTTTCCCTTCCTCCTTAGCTTTTTTCTTCTCTCTATTCCACACTCCATCCAACCCCACCCCCAAGTGTGAGGGCAGGCATGCACACACAGGTACATACACAAACATGCACACACACACACACACACCCCACAGCTTTTCACTGACTTGTGTTTTATTTTTTCTTAATTTTTAAAAGATTTTATTTATTTATTTGAGAGACAGAGAGCATGAGAGAGAGAGAGAGCAAGTAGGAGAATGGGCGAGAGGCAAAGGAAGAGAGAGAAGCAGACTCCTCACTGAGCAAGGAGTCTGATGTGGGGCCTGATCCCAGGACCCTGGGATCAAGACCTGAGTTGAAGGCAGCCATTTCACTGACTGAGCCACCCTTGCACCCCTGACTTGCGTTTTAACACAAAGATTTAGTGCAAAGCATTTTAGAGGAAAACTTTAATCAAGATCTATGGCAGCTTCCAATGAAATGATTAGGCATTATAAACAACTGTCATTATTCGCTCATTCCTCAAAAATGAGCTTACTCAGCGCAGTGCCACACCAGACACTCAGTGAGGGCTCAGTAAATTAAAAGAGAAAGCCTCCAATTTACATGTTGCAGGAGTCAAGAGGACAGAGAAATGAGCAATTGTACTCCAGCTAGCATGGTAAAAATTCATACTACGGCATCAGTGTTGAATTGGATACAATAAAAATGCCCATCGTGCCCAATTGCTGCAGTTGTGTGAAGGGTGAGAATCCAGAAACACTGGCCCTATGATTTTCAAGGCCTCCTATTAAGTCACAAGCAACTGAAGAAATGTTTTAATCAGACCTGGTGCCATCAGAGACAACCCACCTGTCTGTATCATTCTGTCTGCTTTCAAAATCAAAATAATTGTTTATTTGCATATTTCCCCAACAAGAAACAAACTAATACTGGCCTCCTTTCAAAAACAAAAGCCCAGGCCAGCAGATGCACAGCCATGATAAAAAAAAAAAAAAAAGCCAGAAGCAGAGCACACCAATATTGCTTAACACCCTCTTCTACCGAACTAGAGCTTGTAACATAGAAAGGAGATGTAGCCTAGGGGGAACTTCCAGGGGGAACTTCCTAATGTTTCTGAGATACTACACAAAGAATAGGGTTGCAAGACACCTT